AACGTTTTCCAGCACAAGCCACCACTGGAGATGGACAAAAGGACCACCGAGGCACCTTCAGGTGGTGCTGGAGGACACTGTGGCTCTTCCTACTGTGTCCACGTCTCCAGATCCTGCTCATCCACCTCGGACTGTCCGACACCACAGGAACCAGTGGCTCCAAAGCCAACACCCTTCCCAAAGGTCCTCGCAGCACCCAGGGAAGGGCTCACCAAGCACAGCAGCTCCTGCCACCCTTCCTGCCCTGCACCAGCTCCAGCAGCTGCTCCAGCTTCCTCTGATCCACCAAAGACTCAACCACCTGGGAAACCGTTCGGGAACACAGGAGCCCACCCAGCCCAGCCCCTGTGGGTTCCAGAGCTGATTCCCTGGTGCCACAAGGTCCAAGTCACCACTGCCCACCTCTGGTTCTCCCCAAAATTAAATCCAGGGAGCTCAGCCATGATCCAGGGATGAAGGGCAGGAGCAGCAGCTCCTCTGGGGCCCAGCTGTGGATGCAAATCAAAGTCAGGGAACACGAGGGTGACGCTGGTAGCTCCATGCCCTGGGAACATTGGGAAAGACCACGGTGCCAACACTAGGAAAGACCACAGTGCCAACACCTGGAAAACCATGGTGCCAACACCCAGAAGACCACGGTGCCAACACTAGGAAAGACCATGATGCCAACACTAGGAAAGACCACGGTGCCAACACCCAGAAGACCATGGTGCCAACACCAGGAAAGACCATGGTGCCAACACCTGGAAAGACCACGGTGCCAACATCTGGAAGACCACGGTGCCAACACTAGGAAAGACCACGGTGCCAACACCTGGAAAGACCATGGTGCCAAAACCAGGAGAGACCACAGTGCCAAAACCAGGAGAGACCACGGTGCCAACACCTGGAAAACCATGGTGCCAACACCCAGAAGACCACAGTGCCAACACCCAGAAGACCATGGTGCCAACACCTGGAAAGACCACGGCGCTAAAACCAGGAGAGACCACGGTGCCAACACTAGGAAAGACCACGGTGCCAACACCTGGAAAGACCACAGTGCCAACACCAGGAAAGACCACAATGCCAACACCTGGAAGACCATGATGCCAACACCAGCCACCAACACCGCCAAGCCCTAGGAACAGAGGAATCTTGTGGGACACTCCATCACTCCAGCCACGCTCCAGCCCAGAAGAGCTGGACCCACGAGAACCAAGGGATCCTCATCCTTCACCTCCAGCACAATCCCAGCCCCAGGAGAGCCAGGACTCACCCAAGGGCTGGATTTATCCACACGCCCACTCCCAATATCCACAACTCACCCGACAACTTCTCCCACCCATCCCTCGTGCCCGTACAAGCTCCAGCTTTGAAACCCAGCGGGTTATTTTTATCCTGAACATCCCAACCTGGGAAAAAAAAAAAAAAAAATCCCCTCTGGGCTCCATCCTGGGGGTGATTTGGCCAGGAAAAGGCCCCGGGAGCATTACCGGCTGAAGCAGCACGATCCTCTTTCTCCCCCTTCCTTGATCCGACAGACGCAACCGCGGAGAAACGGTGACGGGGTCAAAGCACGAGCAAGAGGGGGGGGAAATAAGCCACGAGGTCAAGGATAAGCCAAGGACATGACAGTTTTAGGTTGGGGGGAAGGGGGGTTGTGGGATGCACACCCCATCCCTGGGAAAAAACCCTTGGGAAAAGAGAGGTGGGGATGGAGTCGGTGGCTTTTTTGGGATCACTCGTCGTCCTGGCGTCGCCGCGACGTCCCGGGGATGGAACTGGAGGAGAGAAATTGAGGTTGGGGGGGGAGGGGGGGGGAGCTGAGGGGAAAAAAAAGGGGTTATTTTAGGGGTTTTTAAAAAGGGGTTATTTTAGGGTTTTTTAAAACCCCCAAAAATGAGAAACAAGTTCAGAAAATACAACGCTAGGAAAAAAATGAATATATATATATATACACACACAAAGTTCCCCGTCTAAGCAGCACAACACCCACCACCCCACACATTTCAACACCCCCCCCCTATTTTTTTGTTTACACATTAAAAACTGCTTTCATTTTTTTTTTTTTTGGGGGGGTGTGATTTCAAAACCAATAAAGCTCTATTTTTAAATCATTAAATAAAAAAGCCAGGTAAAATAAAGATATTTACTACAGCTTTTGATTGTCAGCAAACACGATATATTTACTGCATTAGCATTTGCTCACAGTGCAAATGGTACAACAATCACATCAGTTCCATAGTGCTGATTTTTTGTGTGGGTTTTTCTTTTTTTTTTTTCTGGGTTTTGTTGTTTCTTTTTTTTTTTCCCTTAAAAATGCTGGATGCATCCAACTATCATACCTGCATTACAACATGACAAATGAGCAAATGAAATGTGTGTGAAAATTATCACCTTTTCACGATATCGAGCATAATTAGCTTTTTTTTTCCTTTTAACCTTAGTATAAGGTACTATAAATCCAAGAAATAAAAACATCCACAAAATATATTACATCTGGTATGATTATTTTCTTCTTTTTTTTGTCCTTTTTTTTTTTTTTTTCTTTTAAACTCTGAAGTACTCAACTGGATACAAAAGTCTCTCAAAAAATATCGTTCCCTTAGGTTTGTGTGGCGAAACCTGATTGTGGTTTGGTTTTTATGTTCAGTTCACATAAATTAAACTTCATTCTTTCTCTCCTCTTTATTTCCCTTTATTTATTTTTTTTTTGTATTTTTATTTTTTCATGTTTTCCTGTGGTTTTGTTGTGTTGTTGTGTTTTTTTTTTCACATGCAGACATCAAACCTGGATAGCACGACCTTTTGGCAACAAAGATTATTATTATTATTTTTTAAAGTCATTATTCTTTTTGCTTAGTTTAGCTTAAATGTCTGAGCACAGTTTTATTAAAACAAAAGAAGAAGAAGAAAAAAAATAATTAAAAAATCAAATCAGAGCAGTCATGCAATGACATGCACATACCAGGAGGAGAAAGAAAGAATAGAAAAGAAAAGAAGAGGGTTAATTGATTGTTTTTTGTCCTCCTCCGTAAGTTGGTTGATCGGTTTAAAGTGACCAAATAAAAATAAAAAGATCTCACATTTTATATATATTTATA